GAAATATATTTATGTTTGTGGTTGTAATGTGACAAAATATGGAAAAGTTCAAGGGGTATGAATACTTTTGCAAACCACTGTATATATATATATAAGTGGATCTAACATTCAGTTGTTCAGTTACAAAATTTCCGTCACTAAAGTTCTAACTACAGTTTTGCTTGTTTTAGCTTTTAGCAGGCTTTTTGCTACTTTTATTTTTATCTACTGTTTTCCTTATTTTAGCTTTTAAACAGTTTTAATTAGTTTTGGGGCTAGGTTTATCATTAACAGCATTCACACACATTTTTGAAGAAAAGGTTTTTTATATCACTTTTTAAATTAATGTTTATTTTTATTGGATGAGGTGAAGAGGTAGTTGGCGATGTAGCAAGTTCCACCATGTACAATAACAAGCTGGTGACTAAGTGCACTCTTGGCCATGGAAGACTGGCATTATCATCAACACATTTGTCACTTTATGTTTCATTCAGCACCTTCCTGAGGATAAACACAGTGTCTTAAGAAGAGAAGAGGTTATTTGATAAAATACAGAGATTAGAAAGTCTGCGCAGACCTCTTGATGCCGGCTAAAACTCGTTCTGTTTTTATTGCGCAACCTGAAGGGAGTTCATTATCACTGTTGGATCAACTCACCTTGTTTCGAATGAACGGGCTGAAAGAAAAACATGCAGAAGACAGGAAATCTCCGCCGATCTGATTTTGTTTTGTCTGCCTCAAACAGGTGAAGAGATCGGGATGCTGGAGGACATGGAGGTTGGAATCTCTGACCTGCAGAACGTCGTCTTCAAGGTCACCGAGGCCAAGACGGACGAGCTCAGTGAGCTCCAGCCTTCAGTGTGGGGTCGACGGTGAGCCTTTATGCTGCGGTCGTCTTTCTGCTCGTGAAAGTTAATGAACACTTTGGAACAAGATAAACATCTGTTGTTTTCCCATCCTTTTGTTGTTTTTTTGTTGTCAAGCAACAAATGTGTTTTTATATTAGCCTGCATCACTGTAAGAGCACAGTCATGCAGAAAATATAATTTGACCTCTGAGGTTTTACTAAATAGAAATGATTTCTGAACTTACAAAACCTCAAATTAAAAAAGTTTAACCTCAAGAGAAATTAAAAAATCACAACAGTTATGTAATCATTGAGTGTATTTAGTTTTTCCCTACAGAGCTTTCTCATTCTGGTTTTTGTTTTATAAATGACATGGTGGAGAGTTTTTAAACCCTAGAGATTCGATTAAAAAAATTAGAACCTGGTAAAGACCAGATCATTTTTATGATACCCTAAATTGTAAAACCCCACGACTGGAACAGAGTGGACTTTCTTTTTCTTTGTGACTGATAAATAATTTACATAATAGAGGGCATCTTAGAAAGCATCACAAACACAAATTCTAACAAACCAGCAAACAAAAATATAGTAAATAAATGAAACGAGATAAATTAGTTGTGAATGTGCGAGCATGGTGTCCTCAGTAGGCTCACAATAACTGGCCTTAACAAAGAGTCAAGCTTTTACGGATGTTGCAGGAATATTAAGCTTTTTTATTCTCGTAAACCTCCTGTCACCTTTAAACAATACATACAACATTCTTCACTGTCAGAGCAAAGACTGCACATACAGTAAGAAGAGTGAATTGTTTTGACACTGCTGTCAGACAATCATGGGCTTTATCCCAACAGTCAAGTGTGTTGTTTTTGTCACCACGTTACACAACTTTCACTTTTGCCTCAAATTTAACCTTCACTGGTGTGAGGGTTCACATAAGATCAGATTTTATACATGTAATACACGGTGTACTGTTTGTAATGAGTTTTTTATACATCAGAATCTTTGAGAAAAAAATGGTAATATATTGCTTTCTTACAGTATTGCAATACAGTATATCGTATTGCGACCCCTTTGTCATTGAAGAAATTTAAAGTTAAGAAGATTAGTACTGATGTTAAAAGCTCAACACTATATTTTTAAGTTCTCCTTGTTGTAATGTTGACAGTGTTTACACATAATTCAATCAAAACATAATAAATTAGTTACATGTCCGAAATATCTGTGACAACACATAATTAAACGTTGGGATGACATTAGCTGAGGATTTTGTCTGAATGCCTGTGATTCAGCCGTAGGTCCGTAGGGGGCGAACGCAGGCATTGAAGAACCTGTATAAATAGATGGACTTCCTGGTTTTTCAGCAGTGTTGGTTTCCTGTCAGCTACAGCGACAATAAACCTCACTCAGATCCAGAATTCTGGTGTTGTATGGTTTAATTCTTTCTGCAAATCATTTTATTTAACAATTGTGTTTCTAATATCGACTTCAGTTTACTGAATACGAATTTTCTTCCAGTTTTGGTGACCCCGACAGCCCTGTTCACATGACCAAATCATGTGAACATCATGATATGTATCATTATCACCAAATTCACAGCCCTGGTAGTGCTTAAAATATGTGTTGTGGATGTCTCTCAGGTATCATACCAAATTTGAAACCATTGTTTGAAAATTTGACTGAGTTGTAGTTAGTTTTTGTTTACTTTGGATAATAAGTTACTTATAGTAAGATATTCCTGTTATTTTGAACCCTGGGAAATACACAATTTGTTGATTAATATATCAAGATATGCATGCAGAAATAGTTGTTGTGACAGCACAAACAATTATGTCAGACTTGGCCAAATATATTTATTATTTGAAATGATTTTTTTTTTCAGCCATTAACATCCCGAAGCATCCTGGCTGACTTCAGCAGTTAAAAGAAACAATTGGGTTTTTTCTTCCACCTTTACAAGTTTTATTGGATTGGACTGAACTGCAGATGTTTTCATTTTCACAAAGAATTTCTTTGTTGTTTGATTTAATGAGTTGTAATAGTGTAAACTGGCAAAAGCCAAGTGTTTGGCACACAGCATTTGTGTATGGATAAAACAAGGAAGTGCCTTTGGCTTTTTAATCGTATGAACTTTGCTCCACATCTGAAAAATATTTCTTGGCTTTGTAATCCACATCGTGGCAGGTTTGAAGGAACTCTGTGAGTCTGACACAATTACCCTTTGTCTTTTAACCACAAACTTGATTCATTTGTCTTTTGATGCGCGTTTGCACCTGCATTGAGTGTTAAATTGTACAATTTTTGTTGATTTTTATTTTTACGGAACACTGATTTTTATTTATTTATTATTTTTCCTAAAATGTTTTTTTTTTCTGGATTTAGAGACCACTTCACTGTAGAAGTGCCATTACCACAAGTGATTTTCCAGACCTTGCCGGAGGAGGTGAAGGAAGGCAAGCCTCTGCGAGTATTCCCGCTGCTTTTTAACGTGGGCATCAATGAACAACAAACTATAGCTGAGAGGTACTGCCGTTGGTCTTTGTTCAAACACTTACTTTTACATAAAAAGCCTACAGAGTACAGTCTGTAAAACATGATTTAACTTTAATTTAGTTTTTTGTGTTTGAGGGAAGCACAACTAGCATACTTTTGTGTACCTTAATGGATAGTCTGGTCATTTTTTTTTAATAATCCCTTAAATACTGATCAATAGTTCCTTATCAGCCATGATATCAGTCATGGAGCACAGATAATAATGAAAAGGCCAGGCTAATGGCTAATTTAAAATTGTTTTTCAAGCTTTTAAAACATTTTTAATGTCATACTGGTATGAAAAAAACTTTACATTAGCTAATATTAAACTTCTACATCTTTCCAACAGACTTTTTCTTTAGTTTAATTCAGTTTTTCAGCCGAACATTGTACAAGTTTTTATGCAAATGCACGTGTGGACCAATGAATGCTGCTAGAGCTGAGGATGAGAATGTATCAGCGTGTTTAGATGGTCTAAAAGTTTACTTAGTTCCTGGTGGACGGATACATTCACAGCTGCAGGATCGTCTGCGTCTATGTTTAGCACACGTACATTTAAATAGGACTTTGACTGAGAAAATGGCGACAAATTAAACAAACAGTGACAAAAGTGTAAAGGTTTAAAATTAGCTTATAGATCATTATTTCACACCTTTATGTAATATTTGGGAAACAATAGGTTTATAAGGATGAAAAATAAGTTAATAAAAAGGTGTGTTTGATTAGCTTTTTTAGTAGCCTGGACAAAGACGTGTGCACTTTTCTCCATACTCTGTTTTGTGACTTTAAAAGAGAACAAACTATATATTTAAAAGCCAAAACACAGTCTGAAAGTTGTTTTTGATGTTTTTATTATTATTATTATTATTAGTAGTAGTAGTAGTAGTAGTAGTAGTAGTAGTAGTAGTAGTAGTAGTAGTAGTAGTAGTAGTAGTAGTTTTCAGCATGAGCTGGTTTGTTGTTCTGCTCTGACTGCTTTTTTTTTTTGTCTTGGTGCTGGTAACAGGTTTGGAGATATCTCATTACAAGAAAGAATAAACCAGAAGAACTTTGAGATGTTAGAGACCTATTATAAAATATTAAGTGAACAGGTGCCACTAGAATGTAAGTGTGAAGTTGCTCTTCATCTTTACAACATTTAAAAAAAAGGTTGCATTCATCTTCTAAGTCTCTCTGTTGTAATAAAATGTCTTAAAGGGGAAGCCTTTTAAAGTGGGGTTCTGTAGAAATGTTAGGAATAGTTATTCGATCTCAAAAATGTTATAGTTCGTTTTGAAGACCTAATCATCACTTTGAAATGTGCATTATATAGTTATTAGAAGTCAAATATTACTGCTGAAAGGGCCCAGGATGCACCAAAAGTGTTACAGCTAGCTGCTGCTGTTTGTCTGCACTTGCAAACAACCATACAGTCTCTTGTAAATAACAAAGTATGTGAAACTGATGACAACGTAAAGGTTTAAAAACAGGTGAAAGTGACTTTGAGACTGAAGTTGTTTAAAGATAGCAAACATTTGCAGATACGATATTGTTCATAACCTCTCCACAGAACCCCACTTCAAAAGATCTGAACTGTCCCTTTACGATGTACTAATTATTGTTGCACTTTTAATGTGTAGTTTGTTAGGTCTCAGAATCTCTTAATATCTGGAAATTCCTTATTAAATTGTTTGTTTGCATTTCTGTGAATAGAAGCATGCATAAATTCAATTCAATTTTAAGTTAAAAGTTTTCCTCACCTGAGCAAAACAACCAAACGGAGACTTTCACTAAGGGAATGTTTTGTTTTTGTACAAACAGGTCTACCATGTTTTCAGACGCAGACCGACATAAAGGAATTACTTGAAACCCTAGGCCAGAATGTAGTCTCAAAGAAGAGAAAGAATGTGGAAATACTATGGATTGCTGGAACCGTAAGTTTTAATCTATCTTTCTTGGCGTATCGAGAAAGATTTCTCTCAACCGTATGACAGACTTTCTGTCAAGGACAAATGTGACCCTGATCTCATGTAGTCTGGGATTGTGCAGTGGATTATTTTAAGATCTTCAACAGAGGCTTTAGCCAACTATTTTGTGTATGATTTAACATGGAAAACAACACTAAAATCACTACAGATCTGACCTTTGTTATAATATTGTATTTGGTTCCTGTTAGTGAACTGTGAAAACATGTTCTACAGTCAAGGGGGGTCAGGTTTCAGCCTGCTTTGAATACCTTGTTGGTAACATTACCATGTGCTTGTGCAAACCCACATTATTCATTTATTATTTAGGTCTTCTTCAGTTCTTCTTCTTCTTCAGTTATCAATTTTTGTTGTTTGTGCTGAAACCACACACAGTGATTCATCTTGTTGGTTTCATTTAGTCAGGGAGAAAATAATACTAAAATGCCAGAAGTTACAGGATAATTAGTAGTTTTCATTTATTTTGAGTGGGGTTTATTGGAGTTATATTCATCACTGTCTGTCCTGCAGCACACTTAGCGATCTCTGTTTGGAGGATCTACTGTAATAAAGACAATGGCAAAAAGGATATTGTCTGGTGATCCATTGTTTAGGAAGGTGTCTATTCTGGTAAGAAAGAATTGATCCATGGTGTTACAGCACTTTCAGCTTGAATCATTCTATACTGTATGTTTTAAGGCATTAATTGATGCTTTCCATTGACACACCATGCTGCAGCGTTACCTGCGTGCTTTGAAACAAGCCCAAGTCTGATTAGTTATTAGCATGGCCACACCACAAGAATTCCTCACACATTTTCGAAACTGAGATCCCTCTGACTGCTGTCAGCTGTATGTTCACTCCTGATAACAACTATGCAGAAATGAGCTTTAATTATATATTTTTTCAAAATATCCATTCACATAAACTAGCAGAATTCATCATTAGTTTACATTGTAGTGAGTTATGTAAGAATTGAATAGAAGCCAGCAAGGTTGCATCTGCTTGTTTTCATTTGAACACTATGTACAAAATAACATGGAAACAAAGCAAAGTATTGTTTTGAGATGAATCACTTCACTGACAGAAGCGGAACGTTTTAAATTAATGATGCGTACCATTTTGTCTTCCCATCCGTTTAGATTTGCCGAAGGTTAAATGGTATCAGGTTTACCAGCTGTAAAAGTGCCAAAGACCGAACATCCATGTCTGTCACCTTAGAGCAGTGCACCCTCCTGAGGGACGAGCACCAGCTCAGCAAGGACTTCTTCGTACGAGCTCTGGGCTGTATGCGGAGGTGAGACAGAAATTAAATATGGTTTCAAACCTCAACAGGTGCAAGGTATTACAATGATTTATTTAACAAAATAAGACTTATTTTGGTTCAGAAGAAAGGAACTATATTTGATCAGGTAATGTTCACATCATCTTTCTAATCTTAAGCATTCTCATTATGATCTGTCACTTTTCCTTATCCTGGAGACTCTTCACACTCCACTACATTCATGAAAAAAAGAGTAATAAACTGCAAGGATTGTGGTTTAGTAATAAAAAAGGTTTAAGGTGTTGTGTTGACTACTTCCTGAAAGTCACCACTCATAAAACCAAAATAACATGACACTAAAACAAACAAGTTGGAAGAAAGATCTGATAAACCTGAAATGGATTTGTTTTTCATTAACAGTAATACCCTGCACCCAAACCATCCATCAAAGACATGCCATCACCTTATCACCAATCACCATGTGCTTCCTCCACCGTCAGCACCATCCCTCAATCAAAGGCAATCAAGCTTGTTCCTGCAGCAACACAGTTGCCTTTAATGTTTGTGTGCCACGAGGGTAAACATCCACATCTGCTTATAATTTGAGAAGAATGAACTAGCAGCCGTTTGTTAATAAGGAGTGCACATGTAAAATGCCTGCAGTACTGACTTGTACAAACATGCTGATGGCAGGAACATCAGATTAGGCAAAGGACAAGCTATTTCAGGACCTATAAGATTGGACAAAATATACTAAATGCAGTTTTGATGTGTTGATCAAGGACCGGTCAGGCAACAAATTCAACATAGCTTGCATATGCATGTGCAAACATGCGTGCACACGCACGCACACACACACACACACACACACACACACACACACACACACACACACACACACACACGAGTAGTGATGAAAGCAGCACACGTATGAACAACACCAAATCTCACATGTAATGTGGCTTCAAGTCTTAGTCTGTGTTGTGTCAGAAAGGGCATCTGGAGTAAAGCAGTTGAAATTTATTTTGTGTGAGTTTGTTGTGTGGCAACCCCTGCGGAAGGGAGCAGCCAGAAAGAAAAACAACAACTTTTATGGCCAACTTCGGCAATGAGCTTACATTTAAAGGGAGGAAATTTGCCTTTTTTTTAGCTGTTACTTGTCAGTTAGTATGGTGTTAATTATTTACCAATTGAAATGGAGCTCTCAGAATAATGGACTAAATTAGTATAATTGTGTATAACAAATTAAACTTTTTTAAGTTGTTTGGTTTCAATAATAGCTGATCAATTATAGATTTAAATTCTCAGATCACAGATAAAGACAGAGTAGATAGATAATTAACATTAATGAGCCTCATTAACAGATCTAAATGCTAATTATGTTAGAGCCAGTTGACTTTTTAACTTATTATTTGTTTGCTGGGAACTGTCTTATTATCACATAAAGTGTAACAATGAAAACTATACAAACCAAAATTAAAGGGGGCCTTGGTGGCAAATTATCACACAAGCTATAAGGTGTTGAAATAGAACTGTGAGCAATGCAACATCTAGTTTTGATTAAAAATTCAGACTAGATGTTTCATCACATGTACTGGCTCTTAAAAGTACTGGCACAATTGGATATTTTTTTTCATCTATGTTTATTATTTTTATGTGGGTGGAAACCTGCAGAAGTGAGATGTATGTTGTAAGAAGTTACGCCTTGTGCCATACAGTATACGACATACAGGCAATGTTTTGCATATATTCATTTTGCATACAACAACCCCATTAAAAATTTCAGAGCTTTGTATGAAACGTTAAAAGAAGATGTGCAAGTCACATAAATCCTTAGTTTATATGCAATGAAACATGGTAAACATGTCAACAATCATTGCACTACTTTTTTCCTTTTATGATGCAGCAAATATTTTCAATAGCCTATATGCCATGGACTTCCGATTCTAGCACTTCCACATTCTTTTGCCACGCACTGGTCTTCCGGTTCGCAGGCAACACTGTGTTAGCAAAAGATTTTTTTCACGCGACAACGACTCTTAATGTTCTCTACAGTACAGAATTAGCATATTACATGTACCGATATTAACACAGGACATGTACAGGTCCAGTCAAGTGGAAAAAAATTCACGCCAACATGGATTAAAGCTATAAAAACAAAAGGAAAGACGTTATTGATTGTGGTTGCAGAATTTAGCCTTTTTCGCTATTCCTTGGCTGCTTGTTCTGTGAATTGTTCATATAGAGCTGTGACACTTATATTGTTGGAAAGGGCAGAGTCTAAGCTTTAAATTGATGGGCTACTTGAATGGTTTTGGATCATTTCCCAGACGTTGGTGAACTAAAAATGCAATGATTATCAGGCGGAGGTTCTGCGGCTCTTGGTGCTCGACGGGGGGCTCGGCGCTCGTGTTTTGTCCACACTGTAATATACACTCTACTTTTGCATAAAACTCATGACAAAGTTGCCTAAAATAATTTCATACTCTGTATAACACAAATGCGCACACACACACACACACCTACTTTTGTACTGACTGGTTCCTCCTAGCTGTCCTCTGGAGGTGGTCTTTCCTCTCTCGTCTTGCGTAAAGCGGGATAATTATGACCCCCGCACGCGAAGCGTAAGCGGGAGTCATATTGTTTTCATACTGTTTTTTTTTGTTTTGTTTTGTTTTTTTTTGTCCTCCGGAGATTTTTGGTCAACTGTAGCACAAAAACGGCTGCACCGATCAACTTGAAATTTGGCAGGACTGTAGATGAGTCTGACCTACACTGCGCCAGCCAACGGTTTTACAATAGACCCCATTTGAGGAGGGGGCTCCTTTCAAAATGGGGATGTCAGGACATGCAAAAATGCTTATAACTCAGAAACTGTTCAACATAGAAGCTTCAGATTTCTTTTGTTGTTTAGCTCTGATGAGGGTCTATCCATCAGGTCAACCAATGCCCCCCACCAAAAAAGACCCCCACCCAAACCACTACAATTTTGCGATGCACCTAGTAGCATGACCTTTATTAGGAATAAAGACTTTCGAGTTCTGGTGCATTTGTGCGTGCGGGGGGTCATTATGTTACCGCTATGCGGTATCTACATTTCCCTTTTGTAACCTCCGTCTTCTCATTTCTGACGCTGGCTCTTGAATATCCTCAGGATAGAAATGCCGATTACAAATGCGAACATAAGCTTTTATAGCTAAGTTTTCCCTGTAATGCTATGATCCACTGCTGTCACCTTTCCTCCTCATCAAGAGGAAAATGGAGAAAAACTAACTACTCTATCATACCTGCTGGTTAGTGGACACAACGGCACACAACAGAACTCACATTTTATACCAGTAGCTCACAGATGCTTTAATTTTTGTGACTTTTTCACAACTAGTACAAGCAGCTAACGCTAAAAACAAAGGCAGTAGGCAGGAAGTGGAAGGGATGTGCGTGGCAGGAATTTTAACGGAAATACGTCATCAATGGCCATGGCATATAGGCTATTGGTGGTGAAAGGTCTTCTCTGGCAGTTTTTTTTACTACAAAGCCGTGTTGTTGTAATGCAGACTGTGGGTTTTGCATTGACTTGCTAAAAAGTGCAAAGTCTTTCCTGAAAAAGAAAATTTTCTGGATGGGAGAATATGTTGTTTGAACACGTTGGGGTTTTCTGTGTTGACGCTGTCTGTTCCATTCCATAGGCACTAATGCATTCCCATACCATCACAAAGGCAGACTTTTAAACCACATGCATTTCTGAATGGTGCTCACATATCTTTTTCTTCCCAATCCTCTTACTGAGCTGTTGCGAATTAACTGAGCTGGAGGCTAAATGCTGGTCTGGCTGTTTCTTATTTGTGCCACCAACTCTTTTGGCCTTTTGTTGCCCCTGTCCCAAAATATTAAGATGTGTTGCTGCTATCAGATTCAGAAGTACCCGTTTTCTGCATTTAAAATGATTGCTATGTTTTAACTGGTTTAAACTGTTGCACTCTGTTTTTATTTACATCTTACACAATGTCCCAATGGGGGTTGTATATGTATACAGTGGTCGAACATTAGTCTTTTGTCAACGTCTGTCAGACAGCACTTTCGAATATTGTCTAGCTATATGTCTTTTGCCCTCTTTGTCTTCTAGTACAGTCCGAAATAAACCGGCAAGCACAACTTGCATATCAATCTGTTCCATCTTCATATTTGTAGAATGAATGCCAAATGGAAAACATTCACTTTGTATAGGTAAAAATATTAATATTTTTGAACATGGGAGTCAAGAATACTGGTTGTTAGACAAGGCAGACTGGTTCAATCTGTTATGTTATAGTTCTATTTGTGTAACCTTAATGGTTTGATAGCTGCTTCTGATCAAGCTACTGCAGCTGAGCTTTAACAACTGTCTTTAAAAGAACAGGACACAAGGTTTGACATCATAAAATTTATGATTGAACAACTTGCAGGTCTGTTTGTTGGCAAGGTTTGTCTTTTTACAGATGAAAAATTTGCCTTATCTTCTCTGCCAAACCTCTTATGTGCTGTTGCTATACTGACACGTGTTTTAAGATTTTGGTTTCTCCAGGTGCTGCCAATCAGGTGCCGGGTATAAGATTTATTGCCAAGAAGCACTTTTACAACAAAAGAAGTAATTTACCAAACACAGTTTTCTTTACTTTTTGCACAAAGTATATTTACATTTTGTCTTCTAATGTCATGAATGTTTGGTTATTCGACTGGCAGAAAATGGCTCTGGGACAGGTCGGTGTACGTCATTGTCACAGAGTTAGGTCTTTTGTTTATTTAACTCCACTCCCCAAATGTAAATTTTCCACAAACTGTCACAGGTGTCTTAAAGGAAGCCTCAATGAATCGCAGAGAACTGAAAGCCGGTCCAAAGGTCCTGATCTCTTACCTGATATCTTAAAAGGAAATTGTTTCACTCTTCGATAAAGACCGTTTTAGTACAGCTGGTATCAAGACAAATCGAAAGGCAAATCCAGTGAGATTCAAAGGTTGAAGTCAATTTATGTATATGTAGTGCATTTGAAAGCACTAGAACTGAACAAAATGCTTAAAAAAACAACGAGGTATTAGGATAAGGTAAATCTACAAAGCTGTTTTACTCTTGAATCTAAAGCTAAATGGAGTGATGAAAAGAAACCAGTATGTTTAGTTTAAATGGTGCATGTAGGATTGGGGTATTATTTCAGGAGGAAAAAAATGTTTATTCAAATCACTACCATTCTTTCCTGCTAAACATTTGACTCAACTGGAAAAAACACACTTTATAACATAAAGAGGAAAAAAAACTTTCATTCCATTTTCATTAAAATGTGCATGTCTCCTATCAGTTCATCCCCTCAGTCCAGTTCAGTCATCACATGGTCACAGATCAGTTCATGATCAGCATGTTTCTACTCCATCTTGTCACCCACTTATCTTGCTTTCAGTGATATTCAGTCTATATTAATGGCTCTGTGTCTAAGTGGGCTTTCTGGCACAGGTTTCAGAGGAATCAGCAGTAATCACTCAGTGCCAGAAAGTCCACTCAGACAGCATCTGCACTGTACTAACACAACAGCATTTTGATCTGTGTCTGTTCATTCTGTTTCCCCATCTGATGGGTGGCCCTGCAGTCGTCTTACCCAGGGGGACACTGGGCAGTGGGAGGACCTCGAGGCTGGCGCCACAACAGAAAACAAACCAGCGTCTCGACACTTTTATCCTATTGCGCTGCTGCTTGTTAGCTCTCACTTACTGGTTGTGTGGCTCATATTAAGTCTCGTTTTTCTGCTTGCAAAATATCAATAAACTGCTGACAATGTTGTCTCGGTTTGCTCCTTTTCTTTGTGTCTGCTGGGGTGTTTTTATGATCTCATATGATGGATTAACTGGACTTTGAGAGGGCTTCAAGATGTCACAGTTGCAGTAACGAAGGCTCCTGACCGAGGCCTTTCTGTGTGGAGTTTACATGTTCTCCCTCTGCATGTTAGACTAATTGGAGAATCTAAATTGTCTCTATGTATGTGAGCATAAACTGGTTTGTTTCTCTCCATGTGAACCTATACCCAAAGTGTGCCCAACCTATCGCCCAATGAAAGATGGGAATAGACATTACGTAACTCCACACAATCCTGAGTAGAATCAAGCAGCTACTGAATATGATTGGATGGATTCGTTTTGTGAAAAATTAATCAGGATAAGTGGGTTTATTTCCATTTTGGAAAAGAACAACAATCCTGGATATAATATAAAAATAGAGAAACTTAAGTAAAACTTATTTTACATTGCTGCTATTTGTGTTCAAAACTTCTAACAGGTGCTATATTTAACTATATGAGCCAGAATCTCAAATAGTTTTGGATTAGTAGTATATAGTATCCCCTGAGTGGTTTTTAAACGACCATTGACAAACCTCAGTATTACCAGCCAAAAGCTTGACTCATCCACAAAAAAAAAAAAAATGTATCCCAGACTCTCCAGACCAAGATTGTTCCAACTTTCCACTGCAGTTTTGATACTTAACACTCATCACTACTCCACAAAATCTAACATGAAACAGAGGGACTGAAAGAAGTAAATGCATTGCGTAGTACTTGATGCATTTAATGAGCTCACTGAGCATTCAACAGATGGCAGCAAATGTTTTTATTAAACAGATACAAATTTGATCATTTTGCTGCTGCTTGTTTTCCACATCCTGCCATGACAGTTGAAATGGGAGCAAAAACAGGAAAAACTTGTTAAAGCTAATTTACAAACACATTAACCACTGACAGCACATACAGTAGCAGAGAAACGCACTACAAGTGAAAATAGACCTCCTGGCATGATGTTAATCGTACACAACCGTTTGGCCCCATGTTTAACCTCAGTGGCTGGTGGCCAATTAAAACAAAGAGCATGTCTGGAGATGCCAGTTTTGTTCCTTCTGTTTTGCTGCTTTGTATGCATGTTCAATCTAAAAAAAAGTGTTCCTTTAACATTTGAACTACACAATAAATGATGCACTTTACTCAGACTAACCTGATGTGACCTCACAGCCAAACTCTGTTAATAAAAGCAATGTGTGGATTGCTCACTTTCTCCTTAAAACCTAAAAACGTATTAAAGTTTTTTTTTTTCAGGCCTTGTTTTCTTACAGCCAGCGAAGCTTTGTGAGTGCAGGTACTCTAAAGAAGAAAAACAAAAAAAAACATCTGTGACACTAAATATTTCACGGTCACTTGTGATACAGAAAAACAGGTGTAAGATAAAATGGATAACAAGAGCAACCCTGTTTACTAAGACTACTGCTTCAAAGAGATGTACTTCCTTGTTCAGTTCAGTATTTTATTTTAGTTTTGGTTTTTGTTTCGTCAAATGTTGTACTTTCAAATTAAAAGAAGTCACAGCAGATGTCATTTCAATGCATTTTCAGGATATTTCCTCTAAAGCTGAAATAATAATTGAAAAGTTTTGGACATTTATGTAAATCTAAACCAGAATCAACCATTTTCATTAAGTAGTAAAATCCTGCGCTCTCTATAGTTGTGGACGATTATATAAATTGTGTTATCTTCCTTACCCATAGCTTGTTGTTTGCATGTAAAATAAATGAAGTTAAATGGGGGTAAAATATTAGGCCTAGATGCAATATAAAGCCTGAAGTATTGGGGCCTAAACAAGGGCTCAACATTTAAACTTAGTGTACTGCTGGTCAGAAAAAGAGCTGTTTGTATCCAAGTTTTTCAAAATGCACCTTATTAATTAACCAAATTCAACAAGTACATAAGTAATCCTTTTGCAAAGCTAAATAATTTACCATTTCACATCAAGGATTATGTCTTAATTAAAAACCACTCATTTTTACTTTTGTTTTCCTTTCTTTTTTCCTTTTCTCTCATTTTTATTTTCCCTCTTCATTTGATCATCAGAGAAGGATGTCGGATTGAGAACGTTCACAAGAATATTAGAAGCAGGAAATACGCCTTCAACATGTTGCAGCTGATGGCCTTCCCCAAGTGCTACAGACCACCGGATGGGACTTACGGCAAAGTTGACTCTTAAACGACACAGAGCACAAATACTTGTTCTGTGATGACCGAGAAGTAATTATTAATTTTATTGTATATAAGGACAACATGTGCTGGGTATTTTCTGTTTGTTGTTTTCATGTCAGCAGGGTACATTTGAAAATAAGCTTTGCCAAATGTGTTACTGCAAATGCACTTTCTACATTTTTACCTAATTGTCATGGTTTGGGTAAGCACAGCATTAGACAGGTAGTGTGTGTGTGTGTGTGT